TCCAGGGTCAAACATTTTTGAAACACATAGTAGGTGAGAAAAGTGTGCATTAAAGAATAGCGAAATGATGAGTTTTTAATAAGGTGTGATTCTACTTTCAACCATAATAAAATTTATAGGTTTTTCGCATGTAGTTTTTGAAGCATTTCATTTTAAAAAATTTTTAAGTACACATTGTATTTGGCAAACGATTATGAACAATATTCTTATAGGTAGAGTGTAATCTTGATTTAAATGACACCTTATTTGAAGGCACTCTTACAAAATAATCAAAAACCACCTAATTCCTTTTGTAACTTATAGTTTTCTTATTTTTACATATACTCGTAAAATGCTTTAAAAATTTAATGTAAATGTAATGTATTTATTAATAGTTTCGCTAGATTTAAAAATCATCAAACGGGATAGAATGAGAGAAAAAAGAAAAAAACTATCTTTAGAAAAGGAAAAAGATAACGTTTAAGAAAATTAGAATATAATGCTAAGAATAATAAAATATAAATCGAATTTTGATTAATATTTCACACCTCAGGTCGTTCGTAGCTGTGATATAGCAAACCCAAAGTTTATTTTTTGTCTCACTTTTGAAGCAATTTATGAACATTAATTACATTAGTATTTTCTGATTTGTTGAATGATTATGAGTAAAATGATGTAAATAATGAATGAGTGCTCACAAATTAAAAGATTTTCCCTTTTTTTTGTCGAAGTGAGCATGTTTTTTAAATTTGCCTATATAACCAGCACTTTTAGAACGACCTGGGGTGACAAATGCTAGCCCTAAATTTTCTCAATCCATTCATTCATCACTTCAACAAATATACCAATAAAATTTCCTCTTATATCTTCTCTTTTGTTCTTTAATCCCTGATATCGCATTTTAGGTGTCCACTGAAGATCCGCACTATTGTCACGAAAGTTCAGGGGTGACTTCTGCTGTCATATTATTCCAGAGCTAAAGCCTCAAAATTCTTTTCAACTTATTTAATTAAAAATTTTTTATTTATAATTCTATCACATCTTTACCCAATTGTAATACAAAATTAAGGGAAATTACAATCAATATGAAAATCAGTATTCAAGTTAGGTTCGAATTCTGAGTTTCATCTTCTTTGAGCTGTTGTTTGATACATACCTCCCACAAGGTATACAACTATTTATTATTAATTGCGAGTACTCAGAGATGAGTACACCTGCTGTAGACATACATATGGATTTGATTTTCTTTCTCTATTAGTTTTGTGCATCTGGGCGGTATGTGAGAGAATCGTGAATTGGATTTTTAATTTTATTACAAAAAAAGGTATGCTACATTAGAATTTTTACTGCATTTAATATTAAATTCTAATTCGACATTCGGTTTGGCTAACTTAATTCAGTTTGATGTACATCTGAACGAAGATATAGTTTCTTTTTTATCATTAATTAAAATAAGATATTTGTAGATTTTAGGCCATGTGTTAATGTTATTGTAATTAGATGAACCGTTGTATTTAATTGTTTAATTAATTTTAAAAAAATTAATTTTTTAAGAGGTGTTGTACGGTTAAAGATGTTTATTAGTCCAAAATATATTGCTACATGTTTTTTACGTAGTAGATTTGTTTTCAATACTCAACAATTTTTTAAATAATTCATTTTCTTCTATCTTAAACAATTATTCACGAATTTCATTATTAAACAAAATTGAATCAACAAAAAAGTGTTTAAAATCTCATCAAGATATAATAGTTACTTCAGCAGATAAAGGGAAAGTAACGGTTTTTATAGATAAAATTTTAGAATTATTAAATGATAAAAAAACTTATTTAAAATTAAAAAAAGATCCGACTCATAATTTTCAAGCATCATTGAACACATTAATTAAAAGATTTTTAAATAAACAATTTTTTAACAAAGACACATACAATTATTTACATTGTACTATCGGTTATGCACCGAGACTTTACGGATTACCGAAAATTTATAAACCAAATACTCCATTGAGACCTATCATTGTTTACTATAGTAATGTAAATTATAGACTATCTAAACTTATTTATGAAAAGATTTCAGATTTAATTCAGTTTTTTTGGAATCAAAAAATCTTGCGATTACGAAAGTGTTTTTTTAAATAAAAACTGTGGTTGTAAAAGTCGGAAATTTTCCGGTCTACGAATTTGGATTGTGGTGGCCTTGTAGAATTTCCGTTAAGGTCTTTTCTATCATCAATAATCGTCAGCCATATGACAACTTGGAGGGTGTGCTGAATAATTATTCGGTTTAATTTCTCCAAATGCGGTAACGTAATGTAGTCTGATATTTGCATAATTATGACATAAATGGTCTTTAATTTACATAGGTGTTTTATCTTTTATTTAAACCGCTGTAGAATTTTGAAAAATTGGAATTTTTTTCGTTTCAAAAATTCATTGATATCCATAGAATGAGAAGAAACTTATTTATTAAAAGATGTCATTAGAAGTAGATCATTTGAACTCCAAGCATTTTTTCAAAAAGCACCTTAGCATACTCTAATTTTTAGATATGTCAAAACTTCAAATGCGTTTAAATTTGGAAGCACCAAAAAATAGCAAAAATAGTTAAATTTTAGCTATTTTTTAAATAAAGTTATATATGTATTTGTTAATATTTGAGTATAAAAATTAAAAATAATTAAAAATAGTTATGAAGTCATACGTAACAAAAAGGAAGAATTGTATATTTTCCTTTTACATTTGTTACATGTGTGTGCGTCTGAAAAATCCGCGGGTCACTGTTTTATGTTATATCTTACAAATTGCTTGTTCCACACTTCCACCCTGAGGCGTTCAGGTGCCTGTCATTTTTGACAATGTACTATTGACAGCTTTGAAATGAGAAACGGCTGTAATGGTCGGTAAATAATAAAAACTGCCCTTAGGGGCCATCAACTGTCTATTTATTTTTGGTCCTGTGAATATAGTACATACTAGAAAGCAGATTTTTATTTTTTGATTATTATTTTTGTGTTCGATAAGAACTTATAATTTTAGTTTTATGAAAAATTCAAATGTATTTATATATGTATAAAATTAGGGTAATAGCAGAAAGAGAGATGATGCATAAACGTGATCACGGTGGTGAAAATTAAAATTACTGAGAACGTACATCCTCGTTAGAAGATCCGTCGTTTTGGACGCACGTTTCACATTTTTAGTGGCGGATTTCTCTTCTGACAGCCGTCTGGTCACATTAATGTCTAAAAACAATATAAGGGGGCCAGGACTCTTTTCATGTGAGGCAACGTGTCGTATTCGTTTTTCGCATCATGCCCCTTTCTTTTATACCACAACCCACACGATTTTGTGAAATCGCTATATTTACTTTCATCTGATAAATGGAATTTTCTTAATTACAAACATGACATTTATGATTTCCCTTATTCACTTTGTTATATAGAACTGACTTTGATAGTAGTATAATTTTTCTTTTCTTTTTTACAAATCTCTGTATAATTCCTTTCTTTAGGTTTCATGTAATTAAATATTTCATTTGTCAATCACTTGATTATCATTTTTATTTGCAATTCCCATTAATTGTGACAAGCATTCACTAAAGTTGCGATTGTTTGGAATTACTATAATATTTAACTATCAGTGTATGATATATTATTATCAAAAGCCATTAACTATATAGCTCTTCCAAACTATCGTAAATTCAAATTTGGAGCTTAATCGAGGATAGAACTTCGATCATATGAAACTAATATGAATTGTACATATTATTTACCTATTTTGCAAAAAGGTGCAATCTGAATGATAATCCAATTGTAAATTAGGGCTAATGATTTCTTTGAGAATAAAATATTTAGTTAATAATTTTACATAAACTTTTAGCTAGTTTGGTAATGAGTTTAATTTGGCAATTACTTTTCTTAAAATATAACCTCATTTAATTATTTAGGTCATAACTGAAAACTTCTTTGAGTATTGTTGTAATACATGCGTAAAAAGTGTAACTCCCTTAACTTGTAAATACGTTTTGGTATACTGATAAGGTTAATTTATGTAGCACTGATAAGCTTCAACAACAGTGAAACCAGAAACCTATATTGAAAGATGAAAACTCTTCCCTTTACTTGAAATGCAACAAAAACGAATTTTTCAAAAATATGTCAGATACTAACCCGTTAAGTTTTTTTGCTTTCAGGAAAGTTATTGCGATTACGTTGGAATTAAAAGTATTTAAACTTAAGCAGAACACATAGTAAAAATAAACTGACATGTTGAGTGCCAAATGAAATATCAAATATTTTACAATTTATAGAAGCTTTACTACAAAGACGATCTTTCTTTTCGGTGAGTCCCAATAGAATTAAATACTATATTTATGTTTTTATTTATTCTTCGCCGATGATACTGCATGTTGGGGAATTATCTTACGATTTCAAATTCAAAATAAGGCCGCACCTGTTGTTTTAACAGGTGCATAATACTGTATACTAGAATCGCCTTCCTGGCATTCTTGGATAATAATCGGGAATCTTATCCAATTGTAAGTACCAGGAAGCAATTTCCTTAGTGATTTTGAATTTCCACTTGAACGGCAACGACAGTCAACTAAAGCCGATAGTACTGTCGTTTGTTTGGTTATAAGCACAAGTTTTTATTCTTACTAATTTTTTGTAAAAATTGTTGAAGTTGTTTCTAAAGTTAGCAAACGCCAAGAAAAGTCCAAGCTCCATCTCGACAAGAACAATTTTTTTTTAATTTAGAAACGAAATTTATCTCTTCCTGAAATAAAATTACTAAATGACAATCAAATGAAAAATATAAATTTAAGAATAATTTATTCAAAAATATTTAATGATAAAAGTCCAAATTGCATTTTACATTTAAATATTAAAATGTTTTATTATTAAATATTCAAGAAATATAGGTTTTAACTGAAAATCAATTTTTCCTCCCATTAATAATTTAATTTGATTAATTCACATTTAAAGTTTTAAACAAATGAACTTTTTCCAAGTAACGTCTCTTTTAATGTTTCGTTATTAATTTTATTAACAAATCATTACAAATGTGTAAAATTATAATATACATATAGTTGAGTTTAAATCGTATTCTCTTGTCTTAAAAACTGAAACTGCCCTGAATGCCAATGGTTTGTTGTGGTTTACTATAAGGATCCTTTCTGACTCCTCCACTGATGCTTATACTGCCATGTTTATTTTTGTAAATTTTATGTCCTACGTCTACATTGTATGATGACTTCTTGCCATCTTTTTGTGCTTCGACTTTAACATGACCTTTTTTCTCTGAAGATCTTGCTACCCTAACCTTTTTGATATTTGAAAGATAAATCAATATAAATGCGGAATTAATTTTAAAAGAGTATTTTGGTAATCTTTTAATTAATACTCACTGGGTATGGTTTAATTTTTGGGTTCCACGGTCCTTGACCTGGAAATGTAGGAAATGCTGGTTGTTTTGGTTTAGGTTTATGAACTGGTGATCGATAAGCATTTGTCACTGCTAATGTAACAGCAATGAGTAGAAAAATCGCCAAGAAACCCTTCATTGTCTACAATCTGAAATTTTACCAAAATTTTTATTTTATTATTACAAACTGTTATTTTAAAATTTTGACGTTGCGGAGGGGATTCCTTTAAATCTGCTTGTTAATACAATCAATCAGAAAAATTATTAATATTTATATTCAGGTATTTATTAATAAATTTATATAGTTTACCCTAATATTTAAAAAAATTTAAATTTTAAAATAAAATAAAAATGGTGAACTTACTGCTGTTTACTGTTTAAACATTAAACTGCAAATGATAGATTTCAAAAATTTGTGAATAACTTATATACTCAAAATGGAGTACAACATTTTGTTATATGTTAATTGGAGATAATAAACATCTGAGCATAAGAAATCAGGTAATCCCCGGCTTATCATTATTGTTAGTTATATTATTATTAATTCATTATTTTTCTTCCTGATAATTTTTCAATTTGTTATAAATTCAATGAATATAATATTTATCATATTTGTATTATTTTTTATATTTCCTCATACACGCCGGATTTCAATTTTAAATTTAAACGCTGCACACTTAGATTCTCCTTATTTTTGTTAACTTTTTTGGAATGAATGAGAATCAATGTTTTGTTTTCGTTTTTGAATAGTAAATATTTAAGATAGTACAATTTTAGTTAGTTCAGTCCCTCTTTTCTCTATTATTACTTGTAGGGGATACCTCTACGTGGGATAAAAAAGAGAAATAATAAACATAAAAATGTTGCTAAAGTAGTAATATAAAATAAAAATCCCACGCCATGTCCACTCCAAGAATTGCCAATGCCCTAAAATTCTAGAGGTCAGAACGCTTTGGACGCTGGTCCTCTGGAGTGAGTTTCCTGTAAAAAGAAATATTTTATTAATAACGTTCTTCAACTATAACATCATATATATATGAGAAAGTATTAATTTTTACATAAAAATATTTAATGAAATACCTTGAAACATATTTCTGGAGTGTTTTTCCTCTTTGGTCGCCTCTTACGACACGCGGTTGAATTTACGGGCACCTGATATTCTTTGTTCGGCCGGAAATGCAACGGCCATGTTGTTTTTTAATTAATCTGAAATCTGAATGTGCAATTCTTGAATGGTCCATGTCGAGGGATTACCCGGCAAGAAGGCTGGAATTGATTGGAATTAAAAAAATGAATTCCATTTAATACCTGATTTTTCCAATACTTCGTAAGTCTACGTAAGGAATAGATAACAGCCAAGTTAAATACCTTTTTATTCCGTTCAAGCAAAACGTAAAACGGAATTCAAACTTATGTATTGAATATGAATAATATTTATAATTCTTTTTCAATAAATATTTAAAAAATAATAATAAAAAGTATTTTAAATTGAAACTAATAAATCATTTACTGAAATAAAGAAAAATATAATAGGTTAAATAAAAGATTTATAAATGAAGAACACCTAACCTAAAATTTGAAAGAGAATTACTGCAATTCAGAAAATTCAAATTACGTGAGAGATGCGTGTCATTCTTACCTACAAAGGTTCGAATGACATGCATATCAAAAACTCGAAGAACTTGAACTGATTATTAATCACTTTTATTGACATCAACAACATAATTGTAATCTTCTTATTTATTAAAATATAACAAAGTTTTAATTTGTACCATATTATATATGCACGTAAAGCCGGTTAAAAAAACAAGCACATTACAACTTGTTACAAATCTGACTGAAATCACCTTGAACAAAACCATTTATCTCTTTTCTCTTTTCATCGTTTTTTTCAGTAACCATTTTGATTGGTTAATTTTTTGTTTGCCTAGAAAGTGTTTGTTATTATTATATTTGTTATTAACCTATTTCTATAATTAATTTTTTATTTATTTTATTTTTTATGTCTTATTTATTTTAAAATTAAAAGAAATTAATTAAATTAAATTAAATAAAAAATTATTTAAATTTTTAATTCTATTCTATTCTTTTTAACAGAAAACAAATTTACGACTGATAATAGCTTTTAAATTTTAAAATTATGTGGAATTCACTTTGTTGGCGATTTATCCTACTCCGTTGAACTAGAAAAAGTGGAAAAATCAGGTATTAAAAAGAATTAAAAATTTTCACCTCCATGTACGAACGTGAGATAACTTTAAATCCATCCAATTCCAGCCTTCTTGCCGGGTATTTCTTCATTTATCAATCCGATATTTAGAACGTTCTTTCCACATTCCACTATTAACATTTCTTCCCCATGTAGTTTTACAATTTTTACAACAAACAAATCTATGAGACGTTCTCTGTGAGAGTAATCCTGAATGTCTACGAATTCAGTCCGTAATTAGTCCGCAACAATTCAAATTTATGACCGGTGAAGAATTCTTCTAAAATAAGTACGGAATTATCCAAAATCAATATGTAAAGAATACGGAATCAGTCCGTAACAATCCGAGTTTAATCTAGTTAAAAAAAATTAATCCGCAAAATGTCCGGAGCAATCCGAACTCTAAAAGCTAGAAATCCGGTATTAGTCCGCAACAATTTGAAATTAAATGTGGCAAAATCCAATTCCGAAAGAAGTACGAAACAATCCGAAATCTGTATGCTAAGAATCCGAAAATTGTCTGCAACAATCCGGATTTAATCCAATTAAAAGGTAGAAACCGAAATAAATACGAAATAATCCGAAATCTGTACACAATGAATCCGACATTAGTCCGCTTCAATCCGAAATTATGTCCGACAAAAAACTCATCTAAAATAAATACGAAATAATTCGAAATCAATATGTAAAGAATACGAAATCAGTCGGCAATAATCCGACTTTAATCCAGTTAAAACATTTAATCCGAAACAAGTATGGAACAATCCAAAATCTGTACCGTCAACTGGGGCTATTTTGTGCACGCGAGGTTTTTAATGAATAACATTATTAAAATGAATTATTTAAATCTGCTATTTTGTTAAATTAAAGTTTGATTACATGACAATAGAGAGCACCAAATGTTATTATTTAATTCTTTGTCAGTTGACAGAAAAAAATTTCTAATAACGGAAAATTTGTGTCAAAAATTTTAAAAGTTCGGAAAAATTATACCAGACCTTCTAGACTCTTAATGTGTCTCAAAAACTGAGTTAGATATTTGTTGTCAATTGTGTTGTGATGATACATACGTAATGCGCTAACTTTTTATTGATTATTTTAAGAGAAAAGTGGAAAAACTGAAAAACCAGGATTTCATGGGGCTATTTTGTGCACTTAAAAAAAATCAAATGTTTTTCAGAAATTTGTTATTTAGTAAGTAAAGAAGATTCTGTGTATCATTTTTATACATTTTTGTCTTACTTTTCAGTCAAAAAAATATAAATACGTCAATTAAAATCATTAAAACGATTAAAACCTCAACCGGTGCAACGTAACCTCAAAAAGTAAACTTTAATTAATATTTATAAGTTTTTCAAATTAGTTTTAAAACTATTACTCTCGTTTCTCTTAAAATAACTTGAAAAGTATATTAGATATTAAATTGTAGAGGTGTGCAAAAAGCCCGAAACGTCAGGTCGGGTCGGGCCGAATATTTTTCGAGTCGGGTCGGGCTGAGCTCGAGCTTTCTCGATGTATCGGGTACCCGAAAATTTCGAGAACCCGAATGTATTCGGGTACTCGAAAATATCGGGTTCTCCGAAATTTTCGGGTACCCGAATCTATTCGGGTTCTCGAAAAATTCGGGTACCCGAAAAATTCTCGAGAACCCGAATGCAATCGGGTCACCCGAAAATTTCGGGTTACCATTAACTATAATTAAATTCTTAAAGAACTATGCGATCAAGTTTGGCATCCTATTTTTGTGTTCCTACAAAAATGAATAACCTTGATTTGATTTTGGCTAACGCATGCTTAAGCGATTTCGAGAACCGGAATGTAGTCGGGTACCCGAAAATTTCGAGAACCCGAATGTAGTCGGGTATCCGAAAATTTTGATAACCCGAATGTGGTAGGGTACCCGAACTCAGTCGGGTACCCGAAAGATTTCGGGTATGTAAACAAGCTCGACCCGGCCCGAGCTCGGCCCAAACCCAAACTGATCAAGCCCGACCCGACCCGAAAAGTGAAAAGCCCGAAATTACCCGGTCGGGTTTCGGGCTTTTTGCACATCTCTATTAAATTGTTATCTATTTAACCTTCAAAATATTAACTTCAAGTTTTTGAAAAATATCCTTCAAAACGATTAAAAAAGCTCCTATTGAAATGATGTTTTAAAGTTATTTACAAGTGTTTAAACGATAATTTTATAATTATATTAATATATTATTATAAAATATATATTAAAAAAATTGGACAAGTGCGAGTTGTACTCGCACTGCAATGGCGGGTTCCGTACACAAATATTAAAACAATACTTGCAACATTTATCGGTAATTGGTAGAATTAAAATAAACAATTAAAAAAATATATTCAAATCATTTGATAAAAAAAATAATTTAAAAAAATAAAGTATTGTATACATCTAATATTGTAAACAATAATAAGCAGAGGAATAAAATTTTCAAAATTATAGTTCCTCTGCTTATTATTGTTTACAATATTAGATATACAATACTTAGGTCTGTGAAGCTGGCCAAACCACTTTCATAAAAATGAATTTGAATTATACTATTAATTAGTGCTCAATTAGTGCTATTTTTGTACCATATTGCCGAATTTAGTGCTCAATGTTTATTTAAAAAAAAAATTTTATAACGAAAAACGCTTTAAAAACGTCAACAGAATATTTATAAATAGCCTATTATTTAGTGCTCAATTAGTGCTCAAAGATTAACAAAATAAAAAATTTTTTTATTAATTATTTATTTAAAAAAAAACTTATTCGAATGAGTGAGTAATCCGCTGGCCAGACCATAACGAAAAACGCGTTAAAAACACCAACAAAATATTTATCGATAGCCTATTATTTAGTGCTCAATTAGTGCTCAAAGATTAACAAAATAAAAATTTTTTTAATTAATTATTTATTTAAAAAAAAATTATTCGATTGAGTGAGTAATCCGCTAACCGCACCATTACGACAGACGCGTCAAAAACAACAACAAAATATTTATCAATAGCCTAAAATTTAGTGCTCAATTAGTGCTTAAATATTAACACAATAAAAAATTGTTTATTAATTATTTATTTATAAAAAACATTTTTTCGAAAAAGAGAACACTTTAAAAATGTTTTAAATTTGTTTTATTAATAGCCTATAATTTAGGGCTCAAATAGTGTTCGCAGATTAACAAAATAAAATATTTTTTTTAATTATTACTTATTTAGAAGACAAACTTATTCAAATAAGTGAGCAAACCGCTATCCGCACCATTACGAAACACACATTAAAAACGCCAACAATATAGTTATCAATAGCATATTATTTAGTGCTCAATTAGTGCTGAAAGATCAACACAATACAAAATTTATTTATTAATTATTTATTTAAAAAACTAACTTATTCGTCTGACTAAGCTATATGCTAACCGCACCATTACGAAAAACACGCTAAAAACGACAACGAAATAGTTATCAATAGTCTATTATTTAGTGCTGAATTAGTGCTGAAAGGTGAACACAATTCAAAATTTGTTTATTAATTATTTATTTAAAAAACAAACTTATTCGTCTGACTGAGCGATCCGCTGGCCGGACCATAACGAAAAACGCTTTAAAAACGCCAACGAAATATATACAATTAGCCTATTATTTAGTGCTAAATTAGTGCTCAAAGATTAACACAATTCAAAATTTGTTTATTAATTATTTATTTATAAAAAACATTTCTTCAATAATTCTAGAATTCCTGATAGTTTTTAGAAATAGTTTCGGCAATTAAATGGTAAAAAATAAGTTTTTTCATAATAGGGGGCCAACTTCACGCAGTCCCTCACTATTGAAAAAATAGATTTATAATTAGAGTTTTGAGTTCTTTTAATAGAGTTTTAGAGTTCTCTACATTTTATTCGAATAGTTCTGATAATCCGAAGTCTTAAAAAAATAATTGAAAACACGAGAATTTTTCAAAAAATCTAAAATGTTACACGGAGAGACCCACATTCGTAAAAATTACTAAAAAT